TTATGCATTAATTTTATATTTATCAACATTTTAATAAAAAAATTATAATAAAGTGAAATAATATAATTTTTCTATAATATAATATTTGTCTACATCTTATGTATGTTTATAGATTATATTTAGTATTAGTAATTATTGTAAAGTTAAATATTGTTTTATTTATTTTTATTATTTTAAATTAGTATATTTTTTAAAAAAGACATTAATATATACCAAATTAAATACTATAAAAATATTTCATACAAATTAAATAGTATAATATTTAAAATAATAAATATTATATTTGTCATTTAATTTGATATATTTCACAATAATAATGTAAAATATACATATTATTTATGGTATTTTTATTTAACAAGAAAAGAAAATACTAACATTAAATGACAACAATATTACTAATATAGATTGAAATAACATTAATACATGATAGATCACGGTTTAAATAAAAACATTTAAATAACTAGAGCTAAAATGAAATACAACATCAGACAATACTAAAAATAAAAATACATCATAAACCCAAAAACTAAAAACAAGCACGAAAATTTAGTAATCTAGCAAGTTGGTACCGTTTTTTCCAAGATCAATGAAAAATTGGCCAAATGCATTGGTTGATGGATCCGATTGGGCCTGTTGATCTCTTTTCTCCAAGATTCATGCTTTTTCAGCTTCAATGTATGCTCAAACTCTAGGATCTTCTATGGAACTGACATCTTGAAACAAAATTTTATCTTCTTCCTTCATTTCTTTTAAAGAGTGGGATCTGTTGCGTATTTTCAGTTGGTGTTTTATTTGGTCGTTTGTATTTTTTCATCTCCACAACAAGTCTTTTGTTTTCTTCCTTCATAGCATTGATGAGCGATGATGAATCATCATTTACCTTTCTTTTTAGTTTGACTTTCTTCACCCTGATAGGTCTTTCAGATGAAGAACCACTAAGAAATTGATCCGAGTCACTTAAATTTAGAGAAAATGAAGAAATTCCTAGGGATTCTTGTCGGGCAGAATCGGGAGTTGGATTTTCTGACTCTAAAGATGGATAACGGCCAGATTGTTTTTTCTTGCTCCTCGTAGCTCCATTTTTAAAATTTAAAAAAGGTTTAAATAATATCTCAAACATAGTCGTATTTCCATCAGGATTTGAATTTAGAATTTTCTTTGAACAACACTTTTACTTCGAGCATCTACAATTTTTTATAAACAATTAACCATAGATAATATAAACTATAAATTTATTAAGTAAAAAAATATAATAAGATTTTAATACTTATTGTATCTTCATTTGAAGCACACTTTGATGCATATCTTCTATTGCTTTTATGCATGCATGGAGTCTCTTGGTTGCTTTTTCGATTGTTTGAATTCTTGTTTGCATAGATCTCTTGCTACGAACCTCCCAATGCTCATGTCGTCCTTTATTGAATGCGTTTTCTATACGGGACCAAAATCGATCAGATGATTGGTATACCCCAATTATTGGGTCCTGAGAAATATCCATATAAACCTGACATAAAAGAATATTTTCATCATGGTTGTAGGAAGCTGAACGGATCGACATTCTTACAAGAAGTTAGATTTGATAAAGGTTTAGTTTATAGAATAAAAATATTTGGATGTAGCCACTACAATATCATATCTTCTTTTATAGTGAATGACCCACTCCCTCTCCATGGTTTTAACCCGAAATGACCACTCTATGCAAAATGTCCTCAGATTTATCAATGTTCTAGCCCAAAAATGACCACTCTCTGCAAAGGTGATCACCCTTCTGACCCGAAAATGACCTATATATCACTGCAAAGTTCCTCACATCTCTTAATGCTTTGATCTGAAAATGAATACTCTCTGCAAAGGTGATCACGCTTCTCTATGTTTTGACCCGAAATGACATATCACTACAAAGTTCCCCACATCTCTCAATGTTTAGACAATACAAATGAAAAAACCGGTTACGTGTCAACCCCAAGCGAACTCTCCTATCTTCTTATATAATATGAGTGTGGATTAAAAATTTAAACCAAAACTAAATCTATATATAATTACTGGCTAATCCATAGATAAAACATTTAATAAAACCTCTCTTCTTTTTTCCCGCCCAAAAACCTCTCTTTCTTTTTTCAATTAATGTAGAACTGTTACATTATACGTTAATGAAGTGTAATAATAATTTAAACTAATATATTATGTAATAATTACTACTAATACTAGCTAATTATAAATTTACATTAAATAGTATGAGAAACTTACATATTTATAAAAAATTGTAGTGCAATTTTTTTTATTAAGATAGTTATTCTATAATAAATATTATTTTTCGTCTTATTAAGCAGTTTTTCTCTAATATTAGCTAACTAGTACGACACCCGTGTACTACATGGGTGTTTGAAAAAAAAATACAAAACATAAAATAATAGAAAAAACATATGTTGTCGTATAAAAGTGCAAAAATAGAAAATACCAAAGTCGATATTATTTCAAATTTTGAAAAATTTATTTGTACACTACATTAATAGTTTTATTTACAATTTTTCCATCCTTATCGCAACACAGAATTTTCAAACATTTCTTACTTTTAACTCTAGATAATATAACATAAAGTTGACCATGACTGAATACAGGATTAGGAAATCGTGCACATTAAAAATGTACACTATTTATGAAAAAATTGCATCGACATAGCGCAAATAAATATTCATGAATAGTTGTAACAGTTCAACAAAAAAGTCTTACTTTTTCATATATAAATTATTTTAAAATATTTGTATAAATATTTTTAAAAAATGGTAAAAATGTTTTCATGGATGTTAAAATTGAATTTATTAACATGTTTGAAATTTTCACCATTCTTTTTATAACATTCTAATTTTATAGATAACTTTTTTTGATAATATTTTTGTGAATAATTTTGAAATATTTTATAATTGTCTTGATAATCATAGGATTGAATTTGTATCCGTGATAAATCAAGATTTTTTACACATTATAAATCAAATTTTTTTATACATAATAAACCAAGTTATTGTAGTTATATTTTTATATGTCGGATAAATTTATTAAAAATATAATATAACATTGACATTCTAGACAATCAAGATTATGAATATTAATTTATTAAAATAAAATAATATTAAGTGATATGGATAGTAAAATATATTATAATCTAAAATATATTATAATATTGGTATAGGATTCTTAATCCGTGTAATATTAAGCAAAAAAAATCCTATTTATACTACATAATAAGAATCCTATTTATTTTAATCCTAAATTTTGGTAAAGATTAGGCAAAAATATATTATAATGTTAAGCAAAAAATCATATTTATGCGGCATATAAGAATCCTATTTATTTTGGAGTTGGAGGGGATCAGATTAAGCAAAAATAATTTTTATCCAAACCAAAAGCCGATTTACTGTTGTCAAGTAAGCTTTCGAAGCGTGCGAGCCAACCATTTAGGCTCAACACATTTTGAAATTATATTAAGGGGGGATTGATTATAATTAAACTCCTTAAAATTACATAAGTAATTACTATAATAACACTAAAATTAGTTGTAATATTTTTCTAACTAATTAATAGTATGGTCCATCTAAATTACAAAATTACATTGTTCATTAAA